TTCTAAACCTAATGCAAGTGAAATAATTTAGATGCAATAATGAATGCCTAATGTTAGTATCATCTGTCAATGTCCTTGTAAAGCAGTCTGTACAAGAGATATGAGTAACTGATATAGAAGAAAAAAAAACAGGAAGTTGTCGTCTGTTGAAAAATAAATAAAATATCTAGAATATAAATTAGAATATAAAATAACATTCAGTCAATGTGTCGTCAATAAACTGTACAATTATCAAATGTTAAAACTGGGTGATACAGTCACCAAAAATATATACTAAGTATAATAAGTTAATAAATTAAATGTGGTCTATAAAACTACCACTAGGTATAATAGTAGGTCAATAAATTAAACGTGGTTTATAAAACTACCACTGTGCGAACCCCTTCTCCAGTTAAAACATGTCAGTCATGTGCAAAATCAATCAGAATGGTAAGGTGGTAAAAAAGGGAATATCCTTTCGATACATTAATTATATATTGCTGTCTTATCAAATTCATGTACGTTTGTTAATTGCTCTTGTTATCAGCATCGCACAGCCTTGCTTAAATCGAGTACAACGTGTACATCGCTACTTGTACATAATGAGCTATACAATGGAATCCCTGCATCGATTGGAGAAGGACATTCGGGGAACTTTCGATTCGTTGACTGGAGCAGCTAAGTGTAAAAACATCACTGAAGTTACGAAGCATGTTCTTATGAAAGGGAACAATGTCAGCAAAGACTCACTTGCTGGATTTGTCATGGAATTTGTTAAGATTGTAAACTGCAGCACAGACATTCTTAAATCTGCGTCATCAAATATTGACACTTTGAAATCTGATCAGATTGTAAATCAGAAACTTATGTTGGAGCTTAAGGACGAAATTATTCAGAAGAAGGACAATCATGTTCAGAAAGTTCAGGAGGTCGTCAAAACAGAAGTTAAATCGTTTAGCGACATAGTGAAGCAGAACAGTCCACAGATCCCAGGCAAAACTTTGCAAGCGGCTGTGAAATCAGCAGTTGACAATGATAATCGCAGTCGCTGTGTGATGGTATACGGACTCAGGGAGGATCCTAAAACCAATCTTGATACAGTTGTGGGAGGTATGCTTAGTGAAATTGCTGGAGCAGAAAAACCCTTCGTGAGGGAATGTTACCGTCTGGGAACTGTGAAGCCTGGCCAACATCGTCCAGTCAGAGTTTGCTTCAGCCGATCAGACTCAGTGTCTGTTGTGCTCAGTAATGCTAAGAACTTGAAGCAGTCGTCACAGTTCAATAAAACATTTCTGAGTCCTGATCGATCTCCTGAGGAGAGGCTGATACGGAGAAAACTTGTTGAATCTTTAAAAGCAAAGATGGAGAAAGAGCCAGAAAAGTATCACTTCATACGAGGAGGAGAGATCTGCACCACTGAAAGAAAAGTGACCCCGCAACACAGCACGGAAAAGAAGACGATTCCACAACACTCAGGATTCTCGATTCCGCAACATTCAGGATTCTCCACTTCGAGTAATCGTGCTGCTGGCCTCAACAAATCTTTTACGCAGGGACCATGGATTCCAGGAACACTGTCCATTAGTACTCCGATGAAAAAGCGATGAATGTCGATTTGCCGTGATTCTAGCTTTGTGTGTTATTGTGTGATTTCAATGCACGGCAATGAAGGGACTCAGGTACCACGATCTGGCAGACAAACATGTCTGAACAGACATAGCGAGTCAGATCTGGTTCAGGAAATTTTATCGTTGAAGAGATATTCATATTTCATATGAATCAATACTCAGGTTTCTAATTTTGGACTCGCCCGGGGTTTGATTATGATACTTTGAGGAATGATGTTTTTGCTGACATTTGATTTATAAGTTGATTTCAAATCCCCTATGGGTACCAGAAATACTGGTTTCACAACAACATATGCCTCAGATTTAAAAGAATTAGAAGATACTTAGTTATCGTCAACTATGATTGCAGTGTAAAATTTGTCATATATGAATTGTCGACGGTATAATTAGGGTCTGTTAAGTAAAACAAAATTTTTAAGTAATTTTTGTTATAGATGAGAGTAGCCGTTTTTGAGGGACAAAATACTGTTGCAATTTTAATGCTGGGTTGATGTATTGCTGTATTATTATTATTAAATCTAAATAGCAAATAATTTAACTCAATATCCCCCGTCCCCTGTACACTTTCTGTGGGCACTCTTCGTAAAAATTGTCTAATAGGAAAGGTCATTCAAACAACATGAACTAGAAATCTGGGAAAGTATTTGGTTACTTAGATTTAACCCATCTAAATGTAAAGCATAAAGTAATGCATATTGATAAAGTAAAGTAAAGTAAAGTCATTGAAATGGGATGAGCAGAAAAAAGCATCTATATCTATATAGTCAGGATTATAAATCTTTGATAAGACCACATCTTGAATACTGTCATGAATACAGTTGTGGAATCCATCTGCTGCTCATGATAGTTGGCGAATCATCCTTGAGTTGGAAGCTGTCCAACGCCGGTTCACCTGGTTAATTGAGGGTAATGGCACACTGCCATACAGCAGCTGGTTTAGTGGTTTAGTAGAATATGGTTTGGATATTTTCAATATTAATAGATTATATTAAGGTACGAATATTGTTTCAAAGATAATGTACATGTGCAATATCAAAAGCTCTAAATTAAGAAATCTTCGTAAAGCTTTTCTATCTGAGAGAGTTCTTAACATCCACTGGTACGGTAGGGCATTCCAATAAGGTATAAATACCATAAATTGGAATGGCCTACCAGTGGATGTTAAGAATTCTTATATAGTGTAAATAATTTTAAGATAAATCTAGAATATTTTTAAAAGGACTGTATAAAAAAAGAAATTTATTGTGATCATTATCATTGGAAAGTGTCTGATGAGGTGGTAAGTAGAATTGAAGGAGATAACTATATGGAGAATAAAAGTAAACATAATGATTATCTGTGTTTTCATCCATATGTAGCAAAGAAAAAGTTTATTAACCTGAACTAGGCCGTTTGGGTATAATTTAAATTATCACTACAAATTGAATAGTAACCACGAAGAGCGATTAGAGTTGTTCTTAGCAAAGCAAATCTTATCCTCGTTCTTACATGCCTTACTACATCACAGTACCTCTCCTTCCTCTTTCTGGCTATAAAAGTTGTTGTCGAGTAGTGTTGAATACTCATATTAACATGATTATTGATTTAATTTAGGAATTGTATATAACTATCTTTGACCAAGTTTAATTGTTAATGAGAATGCACCCCAGCACTGGGCGCGCAGCGGCTTTGATGTTAGCGGCTACAAGCTTGAAGCTAGGCAGCTGCAGAAAAAATGCCGCGCGCGTTCACAGTTCAGCGTACGGCTTTTCGTTTTTGATTTTACAAATGACAAAGCAACTTTTAATGATTATTAATGGAATTATCGGATATTTATAATTCAATATGTATTGATTCTTCTGTGGAAAATAAAAATTGTATTTTACTTAAAATTGTATTTTACTTAATCTGCTAATCTGTTGACAAATTGCTTACACTGTTTCGACATACCTCCAAATGTGAGAAATACAGCCGGGGTGAAGGTTGCCTTTTCCTTGTCTAATACAATTCATGTCCGTTTATTTGATTCTTTTAATTGTCTTTTGAGGTCTATTTTGGTCTTACATTCAGTGGTGTAATTAAGAGACTGGTTTTGTTTTGAATTTTAAGCTCTATCTCCCAAAACAAATTTACAGGAATAACACTTACAGTGCCATCCTGGAAAATGCCTAAATTCCCTAAAGGCCAAGGTACCAAAAAAAATCATGCACAGTCACTTGGACATATTTTTGAACTAATTTGGTTTCCATTTACCCTCAACAAATAATGTCAAATTGTAAGTGAGAAATGGAAGTGCAGCTTAATGAGTCCTAAAATGAGACATTTGCTGGTCTTTTGGCGTTAAATACACTTAGTACCTATGTTCAAGACAAGTTTTAGATAGTGCCCATATACCTGAGCACTAGATACTTTTTTCATAATTTACAGGCAATTATTTCATGTTACACGACAAACCAACAACACATTGCAATAAGGATGCTCTTGGTAACTTTTAAGGTGCACAAAACATTCACTTTTACAATATTGCCTAAGAGAAGCCCAAAAAGTAAGTATTTTTATGCCACAAAGGAAAGGTCACAGGGCTTGTGTGATGAAAGTTTGCTTTTTACTTTTAAAAATCTTTGTTTTACTTGCTGCCTGGGACATACCTTAGAGAACATACCTTAAGATATACCTTAGGAAAATTCATTAGAAGTGTCACAAAACTCCAAGCATATCATATTCATGTAAAAGAGATTCTTAGACAATTTATTTATGGATTTATTCAAATAGTTCAAGCTGAAAATGGTAATTACATAAAACAATTTTCTTTTATATAAATTTTCTTTTATTAAAAGATTAATACTCCTTTCTGAGGATTTTAAACATCAATATATTTTGTATAATATTTTTTGGTATAATCTTGCTTGTTAAAAGATTTTCAATCAAAGCTGTCTCTTGTAGTTGTGATTACACAAGATTGTTCCTTTAGCTTTGGATGTATGTTACATGTAGAATGTTAGTAAAAACCTGGTAATCGCCCCTTTCCCTCTGTTGTTTTTATATTGTCACTTTATGGTACTTAATCTGAACTGAATAATTTCTATAGGATTCATTTTGGGTTGATATTGGATGAATACACTGTTGGTTCAGCACAAAATATATGTCAAAACTGAAAACACTGAATTTGATCAGTTGACACCAGTACTATGTTTTACTCCAAGAGTCGACTCAATTTCCAGAATTCATATTTAGACAATCTAAGTTTAAGTAAGCTCTATATGTAAAAATTGTCTTTTGCCTAAATTTTGAACAAAAATTGCATCGTGTGACTCACTGTTCAAGCCGCAGCTAATATAATTTGCTTTGCAATCCCTGCATCTTACTATTTATGGAATTATTATTATCTTTCTTTACTCTGAATTTCTTAGTGATAGTTAAGTCTTCAGTCATGGGACGCAAGAAGATTAACATTCAAAGAATCAATGATGAGCGCAACAGGCAGGTTGGTAAACTATCCATCAGCCAAGAGGTTGAATGACTACAAAGATAACTGTTTAGTCAAAATCGTTTATAATCGCAAATTTTATGAGACTTTGTACAATTTAAATTTGCTGAGCTTGTTCAGAAATAAATGGAGTGATCAGTGATTTATGTACAGCTGATAAATTTAGTAATCATCTGCTTTCTGATTGATGTGAATTTCTTGACATGTGACGTACGTTTTTTGGTTTTAAAATCTCAATCTTTCAGGTGACGTTTACGAAACGTAAATTTGGATTGATGAAGAAAGCTTATGAGCTGAGTGTATTGTGTGAATGTGAGATCGCTCTTATCATATTCAATTCCAACAACAAACTGCACCAGGTTGTCCTTTTAACTCATTTAATGTTCCAGAGCACTTAAACTGTAACTCTTATTTCTACCAATCAAAGTGCTGCTATCACCACCAATACCAAAAATGTTCCAGTTAATATAAAACTGCACAGTGCACACGTCCTAACTTTATAGAATAAGAGGCAGTATCATTTTAAAGCTGTTAGTATCAATGGTTCAGCTTTTTCTCTCAATTAACATATCTTTCTCGGCACAGTACGCCAGCACCGACATGGACAAGATACTTCTCAAGTACACGGAGTATAGTGAGCCCACGAGAGCCGAACAAACGGAGACATCATCGAGGTAATTACATCGCTCACAGCCCACAGCTTAACATAATATATTCCCCTCGCTTTTAATGCCTTTAAATGGTGTGATTTTTCAAACTTTATGTGAAACCATGACCGGGGTGTAGCGAATCATGGATTTTTGTTGTCATGTGCGCCGCTGTTGTTATATAATATATAATGTATGACCTCGAAAGTTTGATGATCATCTGTTCACTTTAGATAGTCCTGGTTCTCATGACACCCCATTACATGAAATTTGTTCCCACCTTCCAATGAGAATAGTTTCCGTATTTCATTCAGAATATGACGCTATTATCCAGTTTGAAATATATACCATCATCAAAATCGCTCTGATGTCGTAATTATGTTGCGCACCTTAAATTTTCAATTGATTGAAATTTTATTCTAAACCTCATGAAAGTTAAACATTGTTAATTATCTTTATATATTGTACCACATTTTGAAGAATGTTAAGAACGATTAAGAACGGTTTTAAAAGACAATTAACAGTATCAGTTAAGTTATTACCAGTATTATTTTCACATCGTCATGTCATTTTCATCAAAGTTCCGGTTAGTGGTGTTTAATCAGATAAATTTCATTAAAAACTAGATAATCAGTGTGTATATAGACGTCAGGTAATTTTCTCCGGAACAGGATAGTAGACACAGGGCAGGTTGGAACAAGTAGCAGGGCACAGCTGGTGCACTGCTCACTAAGATCCTTTCAACTTAGTCTCTCAAATAGTCAGGTTATTGTTCTCGAAAATTTTACAAAGCGCAAACTGTCTTTGTCTTGTTAGACGCATTGTGAAACACATGATGTTCTTTGTAATTTGTAAGCACACAGCTGGTCAGTTAGCAGCCTTACAAACATTTTCAGGGCAATAATCGTATTTACCAACTTGACCACATCTCCACACCACGCCCCACGGTTACTGAAATTGGGACACCTTACCCATCTCTCAACCTCTCCCAGATAATATAAACGTGGCAGAAACTGTGACGTAACACACCATTTCACCGCTCTCACGCGAGACACGATACAATTATGGTGTTAAATAATATCATGATATTACTGTGTAGATGTGATGTAGAGTTATCCTTCCTACCTCGCAAGCAAGCAGGCAGAGAGACCAGTGCTCTGCAGCTCACATTGTTCTGCTCTGTGCTGCCCACTTCCTAGTGTGGCTTTGTGTGTAGCCCTGAACCGTGGTGGAACTCTCCACCGGCAACATTACGTCACCGTTTGTGTGTGTGTGTGTGTGTGTGTGTGTGTGAGCGGTGGTGGTCGATGTGGGGAGGTGGGGTGAAAGAAGAGAAGGGTTACAGCTGGGTTAGTTTGTAGAGAGGGGGGATCCGGACCATATCAGTGAATTTTATGAAATTTGACACACAAACATTTAACTAGATGTTAGTGAGTTGACCCCCCCCCCCCCTCCTAAACACACACACAGTAAGAGGGTGACCAGGTGAGACAGCTAAGTGTCCCCCCTCTCTCTCTCTCTCTCTCTCTCTCTCTCTCTCTTGCTTACGTCACTACTCAGCTGGTGGTAGCCAATTAGCACTCATGTTCTGTGATTAACACGGATGTTAGGGGACCCCGCACTCCGCTGCTGCTCCTCTCGATCATTGGTCTGGGATTACAGCTGATCTTTTCGGTGATCACTATACCTGAACAAACTCGGAATTGTCGTCAAAGAATCGACTATTGAAGACTGTAGAGCAAATTATTCCTGCTCTACTATAATAGAGAAGTTCCGAAAGCCGGGTTTAGAAGAATCGGTTCTAATACTGCCACTGTACATTTATTGTTTCAAACTGAGTTAGCTATTTCTGTATAACTGCGTCTGTATATGGAATATCAAGTGTGCAATTGCCCGGGTTGTATGGAAACCAAGTGATGTATATTTCATGTATAATATTAATGGCAGCTGCCTGTATAAACATTATTGTGAAGTTTCTTATAATAATACCGGCTGTAATAAATTATGCAAAAATTGAAGATATTATAGCTTTTTAAAAGCTTAGTACGGATAGTATGTACTATATAAGTATATTTTAGAGTCATGATGCTAACGTGCTTATTGGAGCTGGCTGTTTAAATCGGACACATTAACTCAGAGCTGTGTCAATCTCAGATATATTATACTATTTCGCAACTGTCTGCAGCATCTCTAATCTAGATTTGGGGATAGGTTCATGATATCTCTCCCGTGATCTAAAGGTAATACAGTAGATCATTCTAAATTATATATTATATAATAAGGCAGTCCACCTCTCCCTTGCAAAGCTATGTTTGTGTATCGGACTGTAGAGTGTTAATACTGTACTTCTTATTATATCTAACTATTTGACAAATTAATCTACATCTAGCACATCTCAATACCTGAGAGCCTCACTTCATCTTGCTGCTGTAGTTTGTGCACTATAAACTAGTTTGTGAACTATAAACTAGTTTTTGAACTATAAACTAGTTTGTGTACTATAAACTAGTTTGTGTTCACTATAAACCGCACCTTAATGACGCTGATGTGCAAGCTATCGGTGCCACATCTCTGTAGTATTAGATCGTTCCGTGTCGGGCTACATGATTGAATGCATTAAGGTGCAAATTTGTGTGAAGCTGGTCCCCTTACAGAATTACATTAGGTCATCGGAGCGTCTAATTTGACAGATCTGGTAGCTTGAGAGTTAATACTGGATAAGTTGTATCTGAATGTAATGAAGTGAGAAGCCATGCTCTTTGTATGACTCAGGTTTTACAGATCCGAACTGTAATTTCATTTATAAATCGTCAGAAAGTGTTCCGGTTTTAAGTGAAATGTCCGCTACGTGCAGCAAAATTGTGCCGACCTCCTAAACACACGGAGTCTTGAAATCGGCCGGCAGCTGACAAAAGCCGCCGAAAAAGCCAGAAAAATTCCGCTTTTGCCAAGCTTCTTTCGGGCAATTACCGGCAACTACACTCCAACAAAAAATGACATATATATCGGGGAGAGCCCTACCCAAGAAATCTAGGTGAAGCACGAGGTTTTACACTGATACATTAGAAATAATCCACAGAGAGAGAGGGAGGGGGATGTTAGTCTTGTGGTGTGTTGTTTGAGATGAGATCACACTCCTCGCTGTTCAGTAGAGTGAAGGCAGCAGCGGCTCTCTGAGCTCTGACTCCAACTGGCGACCTAAACACCGCGGAGCCGCTCTCTCTCCCAACCTCCAGCACGGAATGTTACACTTCCAACCCCCAGAAACCCTTTTAAAACACTTTTAAAAATCGTTTGTAATACTACAGCTAGGAGGTGAGCATGTTTGTGATTGGTCTGTTGTGAGGTCTTGCTTCTCGCTGATTGGTGGATGGAAGATAGTTACTGAAAATGTTGCACTTTTAAACAATGCCTCTCTCTCTCTATCTCTCTCTCTCTCTCTCTCTCTCTCTCTCTCTCCATCCGGCCTATGTTTAGTGTATCTAAATTCGCGACTGGTTCTGCTGACAACATGACAAGACACAACGTGTTACCTTCAAGAGAAGGACGAAACTGTCCTTCTGAGAACAGAGCTGTACAAAAACATTTAAATCAGTATGTTTGTATGTATGTCGTCATATCATGGAATAATAACATCTTCAGAGGACATATGACAGTTCCGCCAAACAGTCCCGGAACTGCAGAGTTGCCTGCCCGGGAGCTGTGCCGACAGGAACTCCGCGCCCTTCTTTAAACACGATAACGTGTTCAGCTGACTGAACAGAAAGATAAGCTCTCTGATGATACACGGTACAGTGTAATAGTGTATATCAGTCGTGTAATACTGACTCTGCCAGACAACACTGAGGTGAAGACTTTTACCAGTGTATATTTTACGTAGACAACTTGGCAGTAGAGGTGTGTATTACAGGATACAGACGATACTGGTATTCTGGGATCAGTGAGGAGGGGTTGTAGAAAATTTGGCGTCTTTATGGGGGCCGGCAGGTATTGATAAGACGTCTTCTTGGTCACATAATCTTACTTTCTTGAAAGAATTTGTGTTAAAAGTTGTTAAAAGAGCTACCTGACTGTTGGTTACCGTTGTGACTAAGTGATCAGTTGATAACTGTTTAGACACGACACTAAATGTTCCCGTGTGTATTAGAAACGTTAAGTGGTACAGATAAGAAGATTTGCCCAGTTTCATCCCACGTGACCCAGTTTCAGAGCACGTGCCGTGTCAAGTGTTGTCACAGTTACCGTGGTAACACCGTGCGGTGTTGAAGGGAAGATTGATCCATGCCCCCAGAATGAGACTGGCAGGCACGTGCCGGGGCTCATTTCACGGCTTCTTTCCCCTGCACTCCGCGGCTTCACGGCCACTTCCCTGGTTCCTTGTAGCGGGAGAATTGAGGGAGTTTAAAAAGTTGAGCAGTAATATTGAGAGAGTTGAGAGAGACTCTTAGCTGACTAGCTGTGTTGTATTTTTCAGAAACACGGTAAAATATAGTAATACTAAGTATTGTAGACCGTTTTACAGACATATAACGAAATGAAGCCTTAACTTTCCTATTGTTTTAATTTACTTTGGCTTCTAAGATGGTAAAATGGAACTAAAATGGCCATAGAGACGTCCTCGATATTAAATTTTCGAAGGTCATTTAAGTCCTAATGTCATTTTGACATCATCTAAATGCTATTGTAGCTATTATTTGACAGCAGTAAAAAAGCTAGCACCTATTTTTGCGAAGCAGTACTCAAAGAAATGGTACTACGTATTTAAAGGTTACCGATTGTAAAACTTCGCTACAAAATGCACGACAAACAAAAACAGTCTGCTTACCAGTCACACAGTTTTAACTAAATCTAATACTTGTAGACACTTTTAAATAGGTATATTATTTCTGTCCACCAAATATATTTGGATCTCAAGGTGTACACACCAAGCTGCTTCTTTTTCCTCCTCTCTTTCTTGTCTGGATAATAATATACAGCTCTATATAAAAGCAGTGAGATAGTGGATATGACGGTGCTGGAGGTGGTAGCTTTCCAAGCAAGCCCTCATTCGCTCTGCAGCTCCTGCTCCGCCAGCCGCTAATTAACTCCCGCACTAAAAATACCCGGCCAATACCCGCTCCGCCGTGTTGTCTAGTTTGTGAGCTGGAGAATTGAGTCGGGCAACCAATCAGCGGCTGTCTTTCTGCAGAGTTGTCCAATCATAATTTAGTTTGTCACGTGGGCTGTAATTCAGCTAATTTGACTGAGTCACGTGGAGGTTGTCACGTGTCCTGTGCTTCTCCCGGTCCTTGGCGCAATCAACTGTTTCCTAGCAACGCTGCTACCTCTGTTTGCACGAATTTGCTCAGCTGCCAATGGGAGGCTACAGTTTGGTCAGGTGACGAGGTTTCAGCCAATAGGAGGGCAGGATTGGGTGTAGGAAGAAGGTAGACAATGTGAGTCTGTGTTGGATATATTGCAGGAGGTTGCCATGTCAACTCTCACGGGTGCACACTTATCCAACATCCACACTCTACACTCACCTACTTTACCAAGGTAGCACTACACGTTCCTTCCAGGTAATGCACGTTAGAAACCCGATATTCCAAACGGTTTAACTTTAAGTTAATGTTCGGGAGAGGAAGAGGGCTCGTTTCAGGGTTCTGTTAACTCTCGTATGTGGTAATGTGGCACGCGGCACGCGTCTGTAACGATGAGTCATAAAAGTCAGCTCCCCTCATTTATTATATATTATATAATTTGGGAAATCTAGTTCAGTTTATAACCTCATACGGGTATATGTCTGCGGTATTCACTTCATCAAAGTAATGGCTAATCAGTTCATTTTGCTCCGTTTCGCTGTGTGGGAATACTGAGCATGAAATATTTCACTGTATAAAACGATTTTATAATGATACAAAATTATTTCCTAGAAACCGTTCACTTGATTAGGTAACGACATGGTATGATCATTCCTAAGTCAGATGAAAACTCGTTTATATTTATAATGGTTCAATCTACTACACTATACAACAAACACTATCAATGATAGGTTAAGTGACAAACAAACTAACTTTTACTGTTTCAGATGATAAACAGAAGGGAATTGAAAGGAGAACGCTCTCCCGATGATAACGATCAGGTTAGTTTAAACTTTGATAATAGCAACAAAGCTCACTAGGAGATGAGTTGGTGGTTGTTTCGCTTGGTATCTAGAAATAGGATTACAAAGCCAGACAATAACTAAATAAAGCATAGTCGTAACCTGACGACATAAGACTTGGCGACTTTAAAAGTTTCACGGAGTGTCAAACACTCGGCAGAATGGACCATTCAGTTTGCGTTCTGATATACAGTTTTACAGTAGAAGTGGCACTGGCAAGTAAAAACTCCTAATCAGTCTCGGATAGCCAGCTGCTGTGATACCCAACAACACCCTATATAAAGCTGAGCTGTTTTCCGATGAGAATTGTTGCATTTAATGAAATGTTATGTTTACATGACTGTATTTTCTAGATAAAGATTGCACAAATTGCACCATTTTGTTACATAGCTGACAAAGAATATTTGGCTTAGAATATTTTGCGACCACCATATGCATAATGTCATAGTGTATATTTTCAGAACCTCGTACTCGGAAAGCTGATGCAATATTGACATGACATAATATTTAATATTCATCAATATCATTTAGCCAAATCGTATCAGAAGTAGAAGTTCCCAAGTCCTAAATATCATAAACTTCGGACCTCAAATATATGCGAACGGTAATATTACGAGACTCAGTAAATAGCATTTAATACAAATTTGGATAAATCTTATTGTACGTGAGTCACTAAACAGCGAACTCACGTATAATATCTCGGGAATATACTTTTTACCAACTTAACCCGCTTCTTCGCTCCTGGTGCTGCTAAATTCTTGAATATCCTCACGTGCTCTCACTATGTGACACATCTGACAGATCTCCAGTAAACAACATCTTGACACACATGATCTGTTATAGCTTTCTTTTTAAACTTATTTATTACAAAATATTCTGTTATATCATATTTGAATGAAAGAAGATTTCTATGATGATAATTCATCAATTGTACATTTAAATATTTCTTTGGTCAGATACCGGGTTGGTAAATTATGAAGAACCTTTTTTACTTTCAGAGCCACTACGTTATCACACCAAATACCGAACTACAGTACAACCAAATCAACAAAGAGTTTGAGAAGATGATTGGCTGTCAAGTAAGACTGGTTAGTTACTTTTTATTCACCAGTTCATTCACCAGTTCATTCATCAGTTCATTCATCAGTTCATTCATCAGTTCATTCATCAGTTCATTCATCAGTTCATTCACCAGTTCATTCATCAGTTCATTCATCAGTTCATTAATCAGTTCATTAATAAGTTCAAACCTAAAAGCCTAAAACACCATTTTTCTCGATTAAGAACGTCTGGTAAAGTCGCGGGTTTGTGGGTAAAAAAAATAACGCAATATGGTTTTAGCAAATAATATATAATTCTTTGTTGCAATTTTCAAATACATTACATAATTAGGATCGTTTGCCATACTAATTGTTTTGATCCATGTTCGATACAATGTTTAATTCGATGTTTAAGTCTATAATGTTAACATAGTTTTATACAGTTTAACTGCACACTGATGACAATTCCGATTAACTATAATAAATGAACTGATGTACACTTAAGTTTACAAAATATATATAATGTTTATCATCCTTCAATTCTGAATTCAATGTTAGATATGATAGAACCAATGTTAATTTCGATGTCATAATTTAAGCTTCATTATTAATTTTCTAACCAGCTAATCACTAATATCAATGAAAACCATTAAATGTAGTCGAAAAAAATTTAATTTTTGTAAAATTTCCGGGAAGATTTGTTCTAAGTTTCCCCATTGTTATAATTCATTGGTTAAAGAATATTTTCCAAAGAAATTGCCAGTTTCCCCCTCCTTGCACAATCTTTCAGATCTATTACTGCGAGCTTCTTTAAAAAAACTTCAGGAGTTTGGTTCCCCACCTCTAAAGTCTAATTTGGCACATTTTTGCTAGGTCAATCATTTTGCATTGCTAGATTTCAAACATGAGAGCAAATTTCCCGACATTTTTCTGAGGAACTACGATCTACACCCCTTTTTTACGCTTACTTTAAAAAGAGCTGCTGGCAGGCCCTACTATGTATTTAAAATCGCATTATTTTTGAAACTGTGCTTGAAAATGATCGCTATTGCCAAATTGCTTCTAGAGTGGTTGAGTGGTTGATACGAAATTTTTTGCCACGAATTAAATGCTATCTGCACAAAATTGTATGTTATTATAATAATGTAATTACAATATGTCTCAAGGGGTGTCGAGAAAATTTAGGGGAAACTTCTGGGGGAAAAAGCGATGTTAAAGTTTCGGTTTCGGGATGTTAAGGTTCGGATTTTGGAACTTATAATTGCACCTATGTCGCTCACTATAATATCTTTACACAACATAAGGCTCCTGTGCTGTACCTATTAGTCCTGTTAACCAATGGGGGAGAAGAGAGCAGATCCTCCAGTACACATGATTTACATACACACTGCGCATGTTACACTACATAATAGCGTGTGTGTTAATGTACATGGCTAGTTTCCTGACTGTTACCAGCTGTTATTGTGTGCTTTTTCACGTGACCACTCTCTCTCTCTCTCTCTCTCTCTCTCTCTCTCTCTCTCTCTCTCTCTCTCTCTCTCTCTCCTCTCTCTCTCTCTCTCTCTCTCTCTCTCTCTCTCTCTCTCTCTCTCTCTCTCTCTCTCTCTCTCTCTCTCTCTCTCTCTCTCTCTCTCTCTCTCTCTCTCTCTCTCTCTCTCTCTCTCTCTCTCTCTCTCTCTCTCTCTCTCTCTCTCTCTCTCTCTCTCTCTCTCTCTCTCCCTCTCTCTCTCTCTCTCTCTCTCTCTCTCTCTCTCTCTCTCTCTCTCTCTCTCTCTCTCTCTCTCTCTCTCTCTCTCTCTCTCTCTCTCTCTCTCTCTCTCTCTCTCTCTCTCTCTCTCTCTGCTTACGGCGGGGTTTGTTGCACTTATATCCGTTAGCTCCAGTCAGTCTAGGAGGCTGCTTCTCTCGGCTGGTCCCAACTCTCCACTAAGTGAGTTTTAACTCACTTAGCGTGTTTTACGCGTGTAACCATTATTATGGTGCGCGTCATTGGAAACTGGCTAATTAGTTGGTACATTAAAACAATTTAAAATTACCACCCCGCTGATAAGATAACGATATCATACTTTGTGCACATCGAGTGGAAATTAGCTGCGAGTTACCAAATAAAGGGACTCAAAATGTAGCTAGTTTACTATTTAGCAGGTAACCTGCTGCAGGTTTACTATTCCATTTCCAGACATTAGTTACCTGGTTGTTGTTCGGTAAAAGGGTTCAGCGCCACATCACTCCTTGTGACGAACTTCAATAATCAACCGTTAAACCGCTCATTTGGCTCAATCAAATTAAATGGTACATGTTCAGAGCCAGCTCTTGCGTAGGAAGACTGAGCCTCTTTAATACCAGTTCATGTTGCTCATTCATAAGAGAATCGATAATCCTACTAAACGTGTACGACTTTATAACATTTTCCCTGAATTTTCACTGGTATGGGCATATATTATCAAGAAGGTGTTCATTCACACACTTAACGGCATTAAATTCCTGTGTCTGTAAATTATATATTTAAAATTATCTATCTTTGACAGCTGGCAATCGTAGAAGTTTCAAAATGATTTTATCCCGTCCACCCCAGGCCACGTATGCTGACATATGTTAGAATGTCTCTGTTTTAATGATTCTCAAGAGCTGTGTAACCTGTTAAATTGATCCCACTGATAATAATAATATAAGATGTTACAGTATTACATATATAATTGTGAAATGGCAACACCCCTCGGCCTCTGGCTCAGATTTGTGTAGCAATCTAACAAATTTCCATAAGCGATTTTAAAATTATTTGTTGACACGAGACAGCGCATTCCCACTTCCCACCGAATTTAAGCTGAGATTTGAGACGCAGCAAGTTATTGATCATGACAGCAAAATGGTTAAATCACGGAGCTCTATTAACCCTTATTAAGTAACACGACTGATTGTCTGTGATTACATTGCCGAGTTACCAAAGTTAGCAGCTCATTTAAGGATCATATCATTCACCTCGTACCAATTCAAAACATCAAACATCTTAGACGGTCAACATTTCATCAGATCTAAATCTCTAAATATGATTAAAAAATAAACATGTACAGAATAGGGTCATAGAAACCACAATTTATTGCTCACTATATTAAAAATGTAAAGAATTTGCTAAACTGTGTTTTTGTTTCAGACTCCTCAGACAGGCACCTCGATGCTGTCGTCCGGTCTTCACCTGGTCCAGACCCCTGCTCCCCCTCACCTCTCTCCTAAAAACATCGACCACCGTAACCGGTTAGTGCCATAATCATTCTTTAATTTTTTGTAATTAAAGTTGATTATGTTATGTTGAATATTATACGGTTTTACTTCCTCTATTATAACCGTGAGCTTAGCGGGCAGCTCAGCACGGCTGTATATTATACTAAAATGTAATAAATATGAATACCAGGGTTTAGTTAACGGGTCATAAAAAACAGACAGTTTATACTTTATCCTCTTGAGACAGGTGTTTTGTTGAAACAGTTCCGACATCTCATTTTACTATTCATCATCACCTGTCCCTGATTACAGTTCCGACATCTCATTTTACTATTGATCACCTCATCACCTGTTCCTGAACACCGGCTCAATAAACATTGTGTTAATTTGTTAGGACCGCAACTTTACTGAAACATGACGAGTTGTGATTAGTTAAAATGATTCGGAAGTAGATCCAGTCAAATCTCAGTTGTGATCAATTAAGAATCGGGTATTACTTGGATGCTTCCCAAATCCGTTCGACTCTACTCTGTTTCAAGCCTACAAATCCAGTATCCCTAACTGCTCGAGCTTCAAATCCTGAAAATTTGTAATTTACCTTGAAAACTTAGAACCTTTTAGTTTCTACGTGCCACAATACCACGGACGTGATATATAAAACTGCTCCAACGAGTACTCCCTCGGCCTCCCTCTTACAAAGCTCTTATGAACAAAATATAAGAACTTCAAAATACAGATAGCGCCCTCTCTATTTATACCTTACCTGTTGGCTGTTTGCTGCTTGCTGTTCAAGAGATACAAGCAAATTAGCGGCTTGAACAAGATGCGTATTATATCGCCCGGCTATATTGTAATTTATTGCGGGGCTCCCGGTCCCAGATTGCAATTTACTGTGTTGAGATCTACCAATCTCTCACTCTCTCTCGATATTATAGTTTTTTGCGAGCTGCCACTCAACAATAAAAGGATACATGTCTCCCCGAATAATAACAAAGTGTTCATTATGCCAAAGTCGGTGCGCTGTAGTAAAAAGAGCAGGAGTGATAATGGAAACTGTGGATCGTACGAACTGTACTTTAGTGTTGCTTCAGTGCCTGTAATGGGAGTTAGTGTCTCCATTTGTAGACTCAGCTTCTCTATTTTAGATCTCACAGAGCTGGGATTTGTTTGAAGAGATAAGAGAGATGTTGGCGATGAACAAGATAACGTTTAAAAGGAATTAATATATCAGCTCGGAGATCTTTTACATAAGATTATTATATAGAGGAAGCAGTGCTACTATAATCGTTTTGTGTGCTCTAGAGCGAGAAATTATTAAGCAAGAAATTTGTTAAAAGTCTTTAACCAACATTTCGTGATTTAAGATCGAATTGAGAGTTTGTGATGCGTTTTATTATAAAACCTGTAAGATATCTATAAACAGGGTAACGAGTAAGGACTTGAAAAATTCGATCGAGGATAGGTCAAAGTAAATTGAAATGAAATGAATAGTTTATACTATATACGAAAATGTTATAGCAGATGTGGCAGAACCTGGATTTATAACCTATAAAACCCTAATAATCTCTTATTCAATATTTTATTCCCCGAACTTGCTTCCTCTTGTTAATTAGCGTCTAGCGAGGTCATAACTCATAACCACCACTGTAATATAATATGTGTTTTAAGAAACTATAATGTATAAGATTGGTGGCTTGCTGCCAGTGTTTTTGACAGTACTGCCAGTATTTCTACCTGCCAGTATCTGGACTGGTGTTGGATCTGTATTATAACCAGTAAGCGTTTCCAGCCCTTATTTTAACCTGTATATGACTTCAGCCGCCAGTATTATAACCAGTATCTATTTCCTCAGTCAAGAGACAGGATCCCCAGATGGAGGGAGCATGCACAACCTCACCTCTCAGTCTCGCTACCTCAATCAGACTGGCAGTCCGGTTAAAAGTCCCATCTCTAGACCGGCTAGCGCTCCACCTAAACCTAACCCTAACAATAACCTTGTCATGGCCAACAAGCACGCTCCTCAGCCTCTCCGGAGTCAGGTACGTGACTTTTCAGTTATTTATCACATTCCTTTTGAGTTGTTTTTGGCTTTCATTTATTAATTTTTAAAACATTATATTTATAATAGCGGGGGACGGGGTAACCTTACGCAGCCGTTTCTGACATCGAATTTTGGGAATTTCAGCAATAAATGACAATTATTTTTTGAGATATTCGACATTTTTGACACATTGAAACACGAAATTATCCTAGAAATTACTGGAATAAATCGTCACACCTTGCCAGTACCGTTCCCAATCCCCCCCATTATCAGATTATCAGATATAATGACATAGTAATACATGCTACCACATTTAGACTTTTAAAAATATAATATCTTACTTTGGATCTTTAAACCTGTGCTTCATGGTGTGTGTATATAATGGTAACTTGGTGTCATAACTTTTAAACTGCGGTGTCTCGCGACAGTATCGCGACACGACAAGATGACTTAAGACATCTCACACTACCACACCAATCGGTTGTCGGTTTTTTGCCAAATTTGCGGTAAACGGCAATGTCATATTATCAGCTTAAAGTGACTTTGATGTGAGTGAACTTTCATTTGAAGTCTGGAAACTAAGTTTACGGAAACGCTCAAGCGGTATTTTACCGTCCCAAGTAAACAAGGGTGCCTTGAGCTACGTCATTACGTGTTCATGTAATATCAATGTAATACATATTATGATACCCAGAGAATATTATAATCTTGTGTCTGGTACAAGGTAAACAAGCTCTCATCAGAGAGGGTGACTGGCTTGTTTATCCTGTAGGAGACACGTGATATTATGAAGGAGACACGTGATAGTGTGTAGGAGACACGTGATATTATGAAGGAGACACGTGATATTGTGTAGGAGACACGTGATATTGTGTCGGAGACACGTGATAGTGTGTAGGAGACACGTGATATTATGAAATAGACACGTGATAGTGTGTAGGAGACACGTGATATTATGAAGGAGACACGTGATAGTGTGTAGGAGACACGTGATAGTATGAAATAGACACGTGATATTATGAAGGAGACACGTGATATTATGAAGGAGACATGTGACAGACTGACACGTGATAGACTGATAGTATGATTGTCGGAACAATAATCATCAATTATGTTCCCATCCGTCCGGAAACAACACGATACTGATGTTATTACTTTTTCTTATTTTTATCCAATATTTATCCTGACCCATCAAACACCGCGACCGTGGGTATTTTTAACCAAAATCAAAAGCTCCTAAAATACAAAACAAGTTCTACTTTGTTTGTACACGAAAAAAGACCAAACACATTTATTTAATTACAAATCATGCTTCCTGCTCCTGACTAATGTTGCGCAGTGTTGTGACTCTGTGACGTTCCTTATCAGGTCTAGTTCTACCAATGGCAATGATAAACTTGCGAGCTTTGTGTCACATTAAGGATACTAGCAGGAACCCGTCTAACCCTAAATGGTGTTTGCGGAAAGTCGTTTTAAAGTTGATGCCGTGGTGTCAGTAAAATGGTTCGGATAAACACATATATATATACAGCAACGAAATATATATATATATCGTAAGATTTGTACGCTCTTTCGTACCCGTAATATTATGTCAGGTATCCTACACATATAAAATATATCGCTTTAAATATTCTCAAAACACTCCAATACGATTAGGAGTTCGGTTTAGTTGGATTGTAAAACATTGGATCGGATTGCATTCGTGACCTTGGTGACCAATGAAACCCTGCTCATTGGCATGAATAGAATCCCTGCAACTAATCCAATTAAGTTAAGAATTTTTGGCAGAAGTGGGTATTTACAGGGTCAGTAGTTTTGAGAGACGGGTGTGACAGTGTGACAGTGTGACGCTTTAGTGGCAGACAGAGGTTTCTCCAGGTAGAGTGTATCCGTTCACATGCAGTTTTACACGCGGCGTCCCCGGCCGCTCACCCCACCGACTTGATAATCGAATAACAGCGTCCCCTCGCTCAGGTTACACATCAAGAGTCAGAGCGTGTGTGTGTGTGTGTGTTTGTGTGTGTGTGTGTGTGTCAGGGGACCTGGACTTTGATTTAATTTGTGGTGCTCTGTTCCATCTCAAAACTTGTACATACAGGACCCCGACCCTGGCACACACACAAACACACACAATCACACATCTTATACATATGTTTGTAGTGTGATTGTGTGATGATCACACTACACGCTGATGAGAGATGTACCCGTCACCAGTGTGATATGTTTCATTATGTCAACAAATATGCAACATCTCTCTCTCTCTCTCTCTGACATTGCGAGCTAGTTAAACATCTCTAGGGTGACATAATATGTTGTAGTTGATAACGTGGTGTAGGGTTACTAGTAGCAACCGTGTGTCACGTGGGTGTCACGTGGGTGAGTGTGTGTCCTGTACTACACTCTATATACAGTGTTATAGTACACTCTCTCACTCTGTTCAGCCACTCAGCAGGCTTCTTCGGCATTATAACCGGAAATGATATTCAGTGCCTTGTTGTTGCCATGACAACGAGCATGGCCGGCTGGGAACACACAGACCACGTTATCGCAGACCGTGTTAGTAGTAGTGGTAACATGGGGGGACTTATATCATGAGTGTTACCTGGCGTTGTTTAAAACAATGAGAGCTCCCCCGCGCTCCAACGTCTCACTTATCAGTTGACACAATACACGCACGCAAAGCAATTTACAATCTGGTAACTTGACACGGAGTGATACCGACCGGCGAGGCGTCCTTTCCAGGTATCACTTGTAGTGTAAAACTAAACCGGATACAGGCCGTGCTGAGCTTGTGATAGCAGAAAGCAGGTGATGTGGAGACAGTTTTACGGGAGTAGTACTCCACACAGCTCCTAGATACTCCCCAAAGCTCCCTGCTTTTCTGATAGTAACAGCTCATACTTATCTAATATTAATAGCTCCTGGTAGTAACATTACTGCTTTTCTAACGGTTCTTATGTTTTAGTATGTTCGTAATATGTTTTAGTTTAATATTTGAGGGCCAGGGTCGCATAAATATCTGCGCACATAACATGCATGTGATAATACAAGGTTAATACCATTTACCGTGGAACTCTCGTATAATAAAGGTAATCCAAACGGGGGAGGTATTAGCTCGGATCTAGTGGATGAGTGCGGGGCAGGTTCAAGATAGATTTGATTAATCTTTAGTTTAACTGCTACTACCTGGTAAGGGGAGTTTACTGGGCATTATTACATCTACCACCAGATGATCGTCTTTCTTCGAAATGAATTGAACCTTTCTTCTGGGCTGAATGCTATATTTTGTGGTATTTATTTTACCACGTAAAGTTCAACAAGGCGTCATACGAAATTATATGAACTCACAACGGTTTGGTGGTTTCGAGGGTCAGTGAATTTGGGAGTCGCTGGGAATTCTTGGTTTGATCTCATATCTTCAAAATCATTAAAATTTAATCAACTTTTTAATTGTTCGCTCTGAACAACGTGGGTAATTTCTGCTCACGTTTTTTTTAAAAGAAAAATTTCCAGGAAAACTCATTCTCAAAAATTGATTTTGAGTATTTTTGGACCACATTGCACTGGTATGAAGAATAATTTGGTATATCACTATTTTTTAGTGGACAACTTTTGAAAAAATGAGAAATCCATGCTGAATTACTCAGATTCAAAAATTATTTTTGAGTATTTATGCGAAAATGGTCAAATTCTCAGGTTCAAAAATTCTCAAAAATACTCACGACCCCCCCCCCCCCCCCCTATATATATATATAGTATTATTTCATCTTGATCGTGGTTAAATTTGGCTTGAGATTCCGTCCCTAGTCTTCGGATTTAATTTGTCTTCACGAATGTTAGTAAAATGTTGGGACTGCAAAATATTGTGTTGTAACTTTGTAATAAAAGGAGAAGGTCAAGGTGTGAGGAAAGTTTTAATTACTCGAAACTCGATCCAAAATGAAACTGGATAGGGCATCCTTCCACCATGGTATAAAAATTGCCAATAAAGTCGCATATTTTGTTATACCTTACCTATTTAACCGGAAGTATACATAACAATTTTAAACATTGATTATAACATTAACCATTTCAGGAGAATTCGCTGTCGCCCAGCACAATGAACATTAACGCTACTCTTGCTCAAAACAACACTTATGGTAGTGTCCACTTTCCACCGGATTACCACAACATACAGCAGCAGGTTGGTAAACGTGCACTGTTCCCTACAACAGTGAAGTAGAAAGCAAAAATCAGGGTGATTCTGAATATAATTAATCCGCTGTGTGTCTGCGAATATGGTTATACGGTTTCTACATCTTATATTTACGAGTTTACTAACGGCCTCATTAAATTCCCACCAATAAAGTGGGGTCAGTTCTCAAAGAAATACCCCTGCATACGTCACTATGAATTTTACAGACATACCATTTGCATTTAAACGGCTCGCTTTGCTCAATACTTCAATAAATAGTGGTGCTCGTAGCGAGCATGTTATAATTTCAAAATGTCAGAGTATTGACATCCTTGTCACAATTCATCAGCTATCGGAGAGAGGAGACAGATTGTAATGAAGTTAGTTATTAGGTACCCATTTCTCCTGAATTTCCGGTCACCGGTCCTCACAGTTATAATCAAGTCATATTTTCAACAAGCAATTATATTTGTCCTGACGAAAATGTAAGATCTCATTGCTCCGAATAAAAGTAGCAGTTCACCTTTGCGAGATATTGTAGCGCGAAATTGTGGTTATATGTTGGAGCAACATACTGTAGTATGTAGCAAAGCATCGTACAATTCATTGTAGCATGGTTATGTAGCGGACCTAAGATCATACCTTCTTTCATACTGTAGCTAAGTCATTGTAGCAAGTCAGGTTTTGTAGCGGATTTAAGATCGTACCTCCTTTCTCCATACATGCACATAATTGTAACGACTGCAAATGCTCTGATTTTTCGAAGGGAAATATAAAGAGATCATCAATATGATTTAATTAGAAAATTTAGCGAACATCATTCTAATCTTTGATAATTTATAATTTATAATTTATGCACATTATCGCGCAATGTTTGCTCAATTCCTGCAGTAAATCTAGGTTTACCGAAATATCACATCCTCTGTCGGACGAAACGGGGCTCTTAATTTACTCACCCTGATACACATGTTATCGGAGGTCTCCGATTTCAACACTAAGGACCTACCGGATATGTGACCAAAACAAGCACTAATACCAACATATCTCTGCCGTTTTATTACAAACATCGGCTGGCGACCTGTTGTTGACCGTACCACCGACGTGAAACTTATATGCTGTTTGTTTACATTGTGTGCTTTGTGTCAATAAACAAAATGTTAAGTATGGTGTAGTGTGCAAGGTGCGCATTTTTGTAGGCGTTAAAGAAGATGGTTCTTTGATTTTGACAATAAATTACCGGCGATTTGGTCATGTCAGCATGTATGGCATCGGTAAAATCGCGAGACGCGTCAATGACCTGTCCTGTCAATTGGCCGCTAATGTTTACTTGTTTCAGCAAAGTAACGAGATGCACAACATCCCATTCTCCTCTCCTCAACAGCACTACCATGACCCCTGGCACGGTTCTAGTACTCAACAGCATACCGTCCAAGCTAACAGACAGTAAGTTGCAAAATATTTCCTTGTGATTTTTCTTCCGCAATTTATTGAAATTCTGGTATGCTTTTTTGTTTAAACACAGTCCGGCTTATAACTTTAAAGTAAGCGAGTACAATTTAAAAACAGTTGACCTTTGGTATACCGTAAGTCCAATGAGTTACAGATAACTGGTAACCCAAGACTAGCGTACCGATTTGCTGCGCTTCGCCATGTGGCTTCTAAAAATGTCCTACTTGTTTTGTAGGGCTTATTACTAGCAAAGTCGGCGTGAAAAAAGCTTGACACTTTTGTGCGCGCAGTCTTATTTTAGCCCTCATATTTTGCTGCGCGCATCGCAAGATTACTGCAAGCCGTCCATGACGTCAGTTATCACTGACGTCATACCAGGGGAGGGTGTTTTCTTTGTTCACTTGTCATCCACCTGCCCTAATAATTAGCCTGATTCTAAGTTTTCTTAAGACAATGAACCCGAATGAGCGGTGAAACTTCCGTGTAGTGACTGTCACTGAAATTGCGGGAGATTCATTTCCGGCTTTTTGTAAGACTTCCCTATCAGAGATCTCATCAAGAAGGATAGTAACGTGCTCCATATATGGCGATCTAATTATATCATAGGCGAAGTCTGACGTAGTTTTTATTAAATGGTAGGCAATTGCCTGGAAATTGCAAAAATCCCTGTGATTCTACCCAAAGTTGTTAATAATGTCAGGAAAACATAAATTTCCGGCAAAGATATCTTGCAAATACCGAAAAAGAAATCCTGCAGTTAAAAGTCTGTGTCAGTATTTGAACCCTGCATTAAATCACTCCATTTCAGCGACACTATCAACGGGAAGCTGTCCACACACGACACGGGGGAAACGGACTCGAGCGAGGACGACGACAACAACAACTTCAACAACCCCCACAACATGCTGTGTCCTCCGGAGATGACGAGAATCTTTAAAAACGAGCCGATAGACCCCATTGAACAGGATCAGAAACGGATCCGCTTTACTTAGCGGCGTCGCAGTAAGCCTGGACAGGGACAGGCTATAGAATACGTGCTCGTTCCGCGATGCAGAATGATAATGTGAAGAAGCAGGCTTTATTTTTTGGAGTCGGGAGAAAGAGAGAAAGAAAAGAATTATCATTCATCACACATTACATATTGTCCCCGTGATATTCACACTTACACATGATTGTACTCGTTGCAAGACAACAAGCACACTCTTGATGAGCGAAGGTGATCAACAAATGTTCGAATTTTTAAAACATCCTCCCTGATAAACGTTTACAAAACTTTAATGTTTTTATTGATTATACAGATGCTGGTGAAGGATTAAATTATTTGCCCCGAAACGTTTGGTAAACTGTATGGTACTAGAATATAATTTGGGTGTACAGTGATGTGCAAATTTATCGGGGCAAGGCCCTCTTCAATTCTTGATGTCTCGTTTAAATGTGTTTATATAGATTAATTCATTCTATTGTTAAACTGCTATTCTTAGCATGATGATACTTGAGAGCTATGATACGATTGATTGATCGTTAGGTTTCAAAATATAATTTACAGAATATGTGCAGATCTATGCATATAGTTTAATGGAATGATTTATTAACTGTTTTTTATGAAGAAAAATAACTTACATAATATTTAAGACTGATTTTGATGCTGGATTTGAAAAGATTGGAAATCTTGATTTGTAGAAAGTTCACAGCAATGGATACCGCAATTTTGCGTCGGGGTTTAAATCAAATGGAAACCAAATTGAACTAGCATGCTGGAGCTTCGAGTACATGATCAAGATTCCCAAACCGATTCGATTGTGATTATATATTATAAGAAACCCTTAAGCAAAAGCTAGGACAAGTAAATTTCGATACTTAAACATCGAGATTTCGGTTTATTATCACACCGACAAGAAATATACGGCATGTGATTTGAGTGATTATGAATGGCTCCCTGCGCTGATCCAAGTTAGAAACTTAGCGCCTAGACAGGCTCACCTCGATTTCCGTGGTGTAATGGCGAAGCAGATCGTATCATAGTGATCAATTTCAATTCCGCCAATCGTAGATTGACCACGACTGTTAAGTCTGTCTAGGCGTTAAGTCGGCCGGTTTAATCGCACAGAGTTATATTATTGGGTTATATTGTATTTTCTGTCACAATGAGTTTTGCCATGTATGTAAACTATCTCTTTTCGGGTGTGTAATCTGGAATATTTTCCGGATGTAAAGCCCTGGCTGATCCGTCTTTATGTCCGTGTTATGTGTACAAGATGCGAACTACATATGATGCTGGCCGTGAGAGAGAGAAGAAAGATCTTGACATAATTATACCTTGTGTTAAAGAAATTATTTTTAACATTTTGTAAAACTTTGTCTTTTCCTTCATCTACTCTGGTGCGGCGTTCTCCTCTCCCTCCCACCTGACCGCGAGGAAACTACTAGACTCCTTGACTTAAAACATGCGACTGCCTCCATGCTTACTTCGGCTTGGACAGTTAAAACATGCAACAGCCCCCGATCCATTGAAACCTAACCGCGTACTTCGTATGTGAAATTTATTGTAATTCTTCTTTAGGTGAATTCGGGAAGACGAATTCTAAGTAATAACGACAAGTTTATTTCCGTGAAATCACAAAACATTCATTTAATATAATCATAATATTCACATTAGCACGTATCGCACAATTACACGGGTTAACCTGGCACATTATATTTAATTATATTACTATTAGGAAGATAAAGGAAAGATATCACAGTTTTCACATTCCAGTGGTAAGAGAGACGGACGATTCAACAGTAGAGAAAAACAGATGCCCGAATTAAATTAACACTTTTCAAGTCAACGGCCACTTTAATTTAATCGGCCGACAGTATTCTAATTTCAAAATTTAACATTTACTAGATTAATGGCGCTATCTAAAAACTTTACAAAATTAAATCATATCCATATTCTAATTCAGGGGGCGCACACTACTAAAAACCCACCATACAGACACACTGGCCCAAACACTCTACTTTGACATTCTATAATATATTCATATTAACAAGAGAATAAAAATTAGCAGGAAAATATACTGGATACTCTTACAGAAGAAATAGTGCAGTGATAGCTATCGTTAAAATTATAATATTTCAATGCCAGGGATACTGTTTTAACGTGCAAAATGCCTTTGAAGTGATCGATTCTGCATTTCTGAAAATGTCCAAACTGATGAAATTATCAGGATGTTGTGAAATAAGAACACCGCGTGATGTTCTACTAACAATATCAAATTTCTAACATACCCACAAAAAGGAGAAGTAATTTTATATACTAGCATAGCATTTTCATTCCTTAATCTTTTAACTCAACTCTAAACATTACGGAAGTAAAACTTTACGGTCAAAAAGTTTAATTTAATTTCAACTTTAAAGTAAAACCTCAAAGTGATGTATTATATCGCATAATTACAACATGATTTTAAGAGTCTACGAGACGTGTTCGTAAATCCTAAGCAAGTACCAGCTTGTAGGAACTAAATGAAGGAGCCAGCTCAGAAAGATACCGGAAAAGAACCCACTGTCTCCTGAATCTCAGGAGCAGGAGCTCCTCCCGAGCTGTACGCGATCTTAACTCTCATTTTCAGGGTAGCTTGAGTGGGGTTATTGATCAGCATCTCCTGGTGAACGGTACCGTTTGGAGAGATGGTTGAGGAGCTGGCAGCACTCAGAGCGATCTGGATACTCCGCGGAACTGCTGCCTGGAACACGTAGTTGGAGATTGGCGTGGTTGTGTTGTTCCTGCTCTCCGCCACTATCTTCAACTTGTCCCCGTCACGCGAGAAGTTAAAGGTTACCAGGAGACCCTGTTTGTTCACAGCAGTGAGGGGAGGGATGGTCGGGGTTGGTTCGGGTCCTGAGTCCAGACCGAGCAGATCCATGAGGAGGTCGTTGTTGGCAGCGGTGGAGGAGGGGGCGGGTGGTTGAGGCGCCGGAGCGTCTCCAACCAGACCTCCTATCAGGTTCAGTAAGGAGTCTTGCTCGGTTTCCTGCTTCTCTTGTACTATTGGTTCTGCTGCTGGAGCACTCTGAGGGGAATCATGTCACTTACAGTTATTGTAGAAAATCTTGCACAAACTTTGTAACGCAAATTCAATTTACGTCGCAAAATTTGTGCAAGATTTTCTGCGAAGCTGCAAATCTTATTTGAGTGACTGAAAGTAAGTAAAAAGTCTATCAAAGGACTGGTAAAATATTTGCCATTAGGGGTCGTTTATATTACTATTAGCGAAAAGAGAAACGCCATTTTTATGGACGTGAGGAGAGTGAGGACTCCTCAAACTACATTAAATTAATTCCTTCTGTAACGTCCTGAATAAATATAGTTACGAAAAGGCTGATTATTACGTAGTCGTAATCAGCCGAGGGGGAGGGGGGTTTCCAAATGATTACGCTAGTGTAATTTGACACAATAGCTATGTTTTTGGAAAAATTGTCTAAAAAGTGATTACGTAATATGTGAACGACCCCTTAGGTATATTTTATTTGTATTAGTAGACTAACATCAAGGAGAGCTTCAGTTTTCTCGGGTTGTTGTTTATCCGCAGCAACTGTGACGGGCATCCTCTCCAACAAGGCCGTTCTCATACCATCATACTGCTTGAATATGGTACGGTACTCCACGCTCCTCTGCTGCAGTTCCACATTTGTACTTATCGTAAAGTAACCGATTATCTGAAATTGCAACCAGTTGAGCTGAGAGTTTTTTATTTGAAGTAGACCGCCGAATGTTCTCCACAGTTCTCCAGTATGCAAAAATATTGTTTAAGATTTTAACGACCTTGGTGTAACATATGTATTTTACGAACTTCTACGAATTCATAAAAATGTATGTCGATGAGAAATTTTCGAAATGACGGTAAATTACTTGTAATTTTCCGCAATTTTATAAGTAAATTTAATAGAACGGCGAGAGCAAACAATCAACATATTTATTTTGTTATGTAAATAAATCTTGTTTATTGTATGTGATGACTGATCATCGTCAATTAATTGCGAAGATAAAAAGACGGTCGTTCTAATGCGAAGGAGAAATTTGGCCAATCTTATAAACGATTTTGATAGAAATCTAAGCGGAACGAACCAATTAACTCAAAATTGATTTCCGGACGACTAATCGGGGATTAAACCAATGATTTTAATCCGATCTCATTAATAGTCTGATTTCCGGTAGTTGAGATTTGATGCGAGTAAGAAGCAGGCAGAAATAGAGATACAAAAAAGTATGGTATGTAGAACAGATTCCAGCGATACAACTAGATTAAATTGGCTACAAGAGAAATCAATAGAAATTTATATTTAACGATAAAAACAGTAACTTTAGTGATTATGTAGATCAGGTACTAATAGTGATTATGAAGTGCCTCACCTTCTGAATACGATCCGCTTCTGTCTTGAACCGCGTGCTAAGCTTCATCAGAGCATTTAGAGTGTAGTATTTAGAAACCTTAGAGCACACTGATCCAGTAACTATGTGCTCTAAAGTGTCCACAACTTCCAACTCGGACACCTCCACCGGCTCTCCAATATCGCATGGTCCTGTAGTAGTACGTCATTGTTAGGGTGTCAGACCATGTCACAAACTATGTTTACATGTTCTGGATGATTTCCCAGGTAAGGGCTACATTGACATGTTGACGTGCTATGACTCATCAACTTAGTGGGTCTGTCAGCCACAATATATTTGTGGCAGACAAGTTATAAAATATTTGGACGTTGCGGTAATAAGTAACTGAATTAATGTGATCAATGAGGATAATAAGTATAATCAATCTTTGGATGTACTTAGCGGTTAAACTGATTTCAAGATTTTTCGTAATAAGTGTTTAAAACATGGGTTTTGGATACTTTTTCAATATAATGAAGAACTTAAAACAAAATTTTGATTCGCTTCATCTGACTATACTCAAACACAACGATTTATTTTCTACAGAATATATGGTCCCAGTCTTCGCTTTTACAAGCATACTTACCTGATGTCGAGGTTAAAACCGATCTTCAAGGGTTTTCCTCCGGGCGGAGTCTTTCCATTGCACAACGGTTAGATGAAATCTGCAGTTAGGACAAATCGTCCTACTCTGGGCATATAATTTGTGGTAGCGGGTGCTGCGGAAACGCGGCACCCTTCTAACTAAACAAAATTGGAAGACAGTAGGAACAATGGATCTACAATGGAGATTGGAGAAGCTATGATAAGGCTGAGCTTGTCTTTTATGATTTTACGCAAGTTGTTAGCTTGTTTAATGCTTTTGTAAGACGTTTAGCAATTTTGTCTGGTTACAAAACTTTGCTTCCCCATACTAAAGAGCCCAACTAGACGGCACGTAATCTTTTTAACGAGACGGAGCCTTTCTGAGACTGCACGTTCTGAGTACGTCATAAAAACAACCTAAATATTATCCAACATCATTTATAGATTAGTTACTAGTGTGTACACACCGAAATGATGTATAATGTATATCCAACTGATGTATAGACTCATTATAAAATTCGTTTAATGACTAGGCTCAGGTTTCCAATATACTCGATTCGAGCTGTAGCCTAACACTGTGTACAGTAAAACCCCAAATAACCGCAATAATCTTCCGATAAATGATCAAGAGCTCAGCCATATTATGTCGCATCTTCTCCATTACAGGTCCCAGAGTATTGCTCCTCCTATCTTTTGGTATTGTTCAGTTAGAAGGGTGCGCGTTTCCGCAGCACCCGCTACCACAAATTATATGCCCAGAGTAGGACGATTTGTCCTAACTGCAGATTTCATCTAACCGTTGTGCAATGGAAAGACTCCGCCCGGAGGAAAACCCTTGAAGATCGGTTTTAACCTCGACATCAGGTAAGTATGCTTGTAAGTGCGAAGACTGGGACCATATATTCTGTAGAAAATAAATCGTTGTGTTTGAGTATAGTCAGATGAAGCGAATCAAAATTTTGTTTAAATTTCTTCATTATATTGAAAAAGTATCCAAAACCCATGTTTTAAACAAACATTACGAAAAATCTTGAAATCAGTTTAACCGCTAAGTACATGTTATGTTATAACTGGTCTGCCACAAATATACTGTGGCTGACAGACCCACTATGTGGATGAGTCTCAGCATGTCAACATGTCAATGTAGCCCTTACCCGAGAAGCAAGTCAATTGATTGACATTATTAAGTTACAAATTGCTTAATATGCCATTTATTTTAATATCCAGTTCTTCAAAGGTCACTTACCGGCCACCAAAAGCTCGCCGTATTCCCCTATCGCCCAGGTTGCCACTTGTACCAGAGGTTGTTGAGAAATGTCCTCCCGGAGGGCCAGGAACAGCTTCTGAACTGTGCAGGAAATAAATTAAACTTCACGCAGTTTTATGGTCCACAGTTTAAATGATGTTGGTATTAAAAGGATCATGTTACAGCAGAATTTCTTCATTCTGGAAGTAATTATAACACCATCTCACGTCATAGCCTGACCACATAGTTCATTTACAGGACTGGAATGGTTTTGAAAGAAAATGACGGTCTCAGTGTATGAAAATATCGAGGTATAGTTACAATCCCGTTACAATAGGTCACGCCTATGTGGGCACTTAATGAGCAGTGAATGTTTCTTAAATCAAATTAAGTGGGTCGACTCGCTTGTAACCAGTAAGAGTTTATTCTTACCTATAAAAGCATACATCTCAGGGGATTCAGAGATAGATTGAGTAACACTGTTGACAACATCGTCCCTCACGTAGTGTCCACCGTATATCAGAACTTTCAGCACTGTGTCCATGTACCTGTGTGAATTATCATGAGTTTCAACTTTTTAAGGTTCATAAAAGCATTACTTGTGCTACAATCTGTCACCACAGTTTGTAGCACAAGTAATGATTTAGGCATAAACCGTTAAACTTCAGGATATATCACCTTCTGTTTCACGAATATTCATTTACTGTACTAGCTGGATGAGAGCCATCATAACCGATAGATTCACCCTCTTTCTCATTGATATAAATTAACTACCAATGATAATAACACGACTAGTTCGCTCAACTTACCACCGTTTAGTTGGAGCGAATTTATCAGACAGAAGGATAATAGTAGAGGTAAGCTGCGCTTTCAGCTCGGCTGGTGCTGAAGTGCTCAGGAAGCTAACCAACTCTCCTATCACGGATCTGACGTTGGTTTCGTTAACTAGGGCGAAGAGGAGCTCCATTGCTCTCTTCTTGATCGAGATATCAACGTCTGCCAGACATTCTATAATTGTGTTTCGGTGTCGCTGTACTGCGGCCTTGTCGATGTGAACCGTTCTCAGCAGAGTGTTCAACGCTACGTATCTGAGATTGAATCTGTAGTTGTTAGGTAGTCATGTCGATTCTTGGATAAAGTCACGTTACTGTTAGGAGTGAGAAAGGGATTTATTGAGTCAGCCGGTGCCACGTGGGCAATGCGTTCTGAATGTGTTCTACTTTAGATAAGAAGATGACTATTACGTTGCATTTCAATAGAGCGTATGAGAATGGATACATATAGTAAAGCCAATAATTACAGCCGATAGTCAGCAAGGGAACAGATAATCAACGTATCAATTTTGGTAAACTTGTGATCTTTGTAATCGTATAATTTAGTCACACACGATGCGATGCGCGCTCGGCTCGTTACGGTCGCGCGCAAAAATACTACATTGTCAGCCCTGTAAATACAATGGGACTGCCTTAATTTTCCCACCGCGTGTTCCATATAATACTTAAATCGCTGTTCAATATGTTGGATTAGTGGCAATTTGATGTGCACATTGCTCCAAATGGTACGATGAAAATAGCTATGAATCAATTAATACGCAAATAAGGTACATCTCTGAAGTTGTAACAGTTCTAGCACACCAAGAAAGACACTTACCTTATGTTTTTATCAGAATTAAGCAGAAATCGTCCAAGAATATTGATAGCAAGAACCCTGAGCCCACTTTCTGCATCTATATCCATGATAGTTAACACTGTCTGGTACAGAATGGCATTTCCGACATTCTTGCTGGTTTCGGTGTTGGTTGCTACTTGTGCTAGAATATCGTTCATCTGCTCACTTGCATCGGCGTCACTTTTACCAAGGACCGCGAGCAACCTCAATAATTGTACCTGGGGTAAAGCAGGAGTAATTAGTTGTGTACTAATTAGACACACAAATCACAATCTGATAACGATCAAACTGTTAAGTAGAGATGGCAGGACACAAATATATAATCTTATACGGTGGTAAAACACAGAACTCTCAAGAAACAATAAGATTAAAACAATCCAACTGCAACATTACAAGTCTATCATTACACAATAAATTACGTTTATAAAACCTGTAAGAAAGGTAAACACAGTAACAAATACTTATAAACATGAACCTCTAAGAAAGGTATACACAGTAACAAATACTTATAAACATCAACCTGTAAGAAAGGTATACACAGTAACAAATACTTATAAACCCCAACCTGTAAGAAAGGTATACACAGTAACAAATACTTATAAACATCAACCTGTAAGAAAGGTATGTACACAGTAACAAATACTTATAAAGCCCAACCTGTAAGAAAGGGTCCGAACATCCAGCCACGTCGTGTTCTGGTGAATATCCGGCCATTATCAGATTCTTGAGCACTCGTAACAAGTTAAAGATACACTTCTTGAAGTGGATAATACAGTCAGGGTTTATGTCGCACATTTCTCTGATCAGTATAACACTTGTCAGAAGTACTCCGTGGTTTCGTTCGTTTATCAGAGCTTTTGTTAGCGGGATGAAAACCTGAATATTTGCTTTATTACTATCAATCTAAACTATATCTTGATTCTTGATTTAAGATATTTTTATGAACATTTTTGATGATCTTATTTATCATTATGTTTTGATTAGATTTTAACTTTGAGTAGTTTCAAATCGTACGCTTCTAAACTAATACCGATTACACAGATAACTTAGTTCTAGAAGCCTAACACGTTTTATATACGTTCTACTTTGTTAAAAAGTCTGATATAAGAAACCAAGTACACGAATTACTGCTGTAATTACTAGGCAACAATCAACTATTGCTTGATCTCAAAAACGGTAAAATTGTTTACTTATCAATCTTTACTTCTGCACTATTTTTAGTAGTTTAAAATCGAATCATAAATGGAGTAACTTGCAACAATCTATTGCTAGCTGTTGAAAAACGTTCACAATTTTATAGTTTAATTTAGATAAACATTACCTCGATAAGATCTGGAACTTTCTTTATAATCCGGACAGCGCACAAAGCTGCTTTCTTCCTCAAAAATGCGTTCGACGATTTTAATAACTTTTCAACCTACGAAATAGTTTATTCCATTACATAAACTAAACATTCTTACATTCTGGGAATAACCTATGTCATTTTATCACTTTTATCACAAACAGTTAGGGATTGAAACAATATACCAGTTATGGAATGCGAGAATCCAACTATTTACCTCAGGTGCAAGATCTCTGCCCATCTCAGCGCTACACACGTTACCAAGCGCTGCGAGCGCAAGCCCCGACACAAACTGCGTGCTGTGTCCCAAATCGTTCTTCAGACAGTTGGTAACCAGTAAGTGTACATCCTGGCGTTCATCAAGCAACAACATTACTCCCAGATAGCCCTGTTGTTGGACACGTGATCAGATAATACATTTCATTAATAAGATAATACATTTCATTAATAAGATAATACATTTCATTAATAACATAATTTCATCGTTAACATTTCATTAATTTAACATAAAACACAATTTTATGTTGCTGCAGTGAGCTTGAGTCACTCCGTTATTAAATATTTCTAACTCACACAGCCGGACTCTGTGATATTCCTGATTAGCCCTGGCAGCTGGCACAAAGTTGATAAGGGCTAACACTCATGCTACCAGTTCCGTTAAAATGACGCCGAAATGTGACAGCGACCAAGAATTCTATCTGTATTTCAAAACGATATTTTTTAAAGCATCACATAATTACTCACAATTCGTTTATCAACAAATCTCGGAGAAGAAATGAGTTTAAGACACTCCAGTTGTCCGAAGTGAGCAGGGAATCCCAACATGTGGATGTAAAGAAGTTTAGCAACATTCCTGCACCTGTTATCATTATCCTCCTCTCTGAAGCTATCTCTTATCGCTGCACACTCTGTGATACAGAATAAGTCAAGAAAACAACAATTTCAAGAAAACAAAGTAAATCAGTGTAGTTATTATTTATAGTTTAGGAGCAGTGAATGTTTAAGGTGATAGAGAGTATAATGCGTGGTATATTTCATGCTGTGCACATTGTTATCTCAGTAAATGATAATGTATTGTATCCACATTTAGTGCCTCTGATGAGAAAAATTTGATAAAACCTAAAAGCTATAATTTCACAAACCTTTGGTTATAATGCCTCTCTCTTCTGCAGCAGTCCTAGCAGACCTGATCTGCCTGATCAGATCTCTGAGTTTCACAGTTGAAGGTAGAAGCGATACAACCATGCTGACCTACCCTTAAATGAGTTACATTTAACAATTCTGTTAGCAGTTATTCAATGTATGACCTACATAATAATGTGGGGGTATGTCTGGTTACAATAATTTCAAGTTGTCAAATTATGAAAGAGTAAATTGATATAAATAATCTAAATCTTTTCAAACAATACATAATTATACAGAATTGATAATACAGAAAAATAATGGGAATAATAGATAATCTAGAAGGGTCATTATTATCCACTCCGAACCTCCACGTGGTGTGGCCTGGTTGGCACTAACGGGTGGTGTACTCACTTACTGAGTATGAAGGTCGAGTTTAGCCAGCTCAAAGTTCGCAGGACTCATCAAACTAACACTAACAGCTACCAAGCACCAGGAAACTTTCCCCCAGGTAACAGGATACAAGAAAGCTGCCAGTACAACGCAAGAATTACAGGAATAACGCAGAATTAAAGTACACGCCAGCTCCCTGATAATGATAACAAAGGAACGCTCTCGGGCAACTCAGTACCACAAACCTTCCGATCCTCTGGAAGGCGCGAAGGACGCGAAAGGTTTAAAGATCTGACTGCCACCACTTTTCCGCTAAATAAGCTAGCGCGCACGTTTAGTCCAGACCTCACGGCGCCAGTTTCCCTGGATCAGGCTACCCTTCCAACTAGCAGGACCCTGCACAAGCTTGACAAGCTTAACTACGCAACAGGAACTCATCGTACAGCAGAAGATCGGTTTTCATTCTTTTCCCTTTAGTTCTCCACCTTTGTGTCACTGTTTTGGCCGTCTAACCCTCTCTCTACCCTCCTTGATTGATTGAAATTCAGCACAAACAGGATAACAACAGGCAAACTCAGGATTGAGATATTTTACTAACGTCTCCTCAATTTAGCAATCATGCATTCACGATCTCGATCCAGATCCAGACATAGATCCAGATCTAGATCCAAAACCAGAAGAACCCGCTCCTCCTCACACAAGTCATCTCGTCGCAGCAGATCACCCCGCACGACTCGAGAATCGGACTGGATTGAGGCAGGCAAAAGCGGGAAACACCAGGCAGCCAAGGATTCAGGGAAGTCAAAGGGAAGGTTATCAGCTGCAGGTTCCAGCAAGGATAGGAAGGCAATTAGGGCCAATAGGGTTACCGCTGGTCACGTTAATGTGATCAGAGGCTCAGGCGGGAACTTGGTAAGGGTTCCCTATCATCAAACAGCAAGGTTAACCCAAGGAAAGGGGCCGAAAGGTAAGGAGCCAGCCTCCAAACCGAGTAACCCCTCAAACAACAACATTCAGGAACAAAAACACCAGGTAAAAGCACTGTACTCCAGAATTGCAGGAGCGGACCAGGATAAGTACGAGATCAGAGTGGTGAGGACAGATAAGGCGGCTATGACGCGTGAGGACCAATGGAAGATACAGTTCGGTGTCTCAGAACACATGGTACAGGCATCTAAATCAGGTCAGACAGGGGAGCACTTAGCTCACGGAGGAACCAAGTTAAACCACAGGGAGTTGATTATTTTCTGTAGACAAGCAGCAGGTAGCTTCTACAAAGAGGCAATAACTAGGATTGCAGGGTATGAAGCTTACCTTCCAGGAGAACGCCCGCCAGGTACGGAGATTTACACCACTCTCCCAGGAATGGCAACACCATTGTTGTCTAAACTTGACGAGCATTTCGTAGCAGGGACCTTCGGGTCATTAACAACAAAACAGGTACGTATTTCTAGGAAAGCATGGAGGATGGAAGGAGACAAGGAGACAAGTTGGCATGTCTACCTAGAAATAGACGAGGAGGCTGTCCAGTGGCTCAAGACCAAAAACTGGCTGTCACCAATAGGTTTGTACGTCCCAATGTGGGGACACCCAAAGGTAACAGGAATCACAGGATTTATAGCCCCGGACGCTAACATCAAGGTTCTAAAAGCTACATTAAGACAGGAGGATGAAGCTAGTACAGCAACAGAAGAACAGGACCAGACAATAACCCAGGCTAGCCCAATTCGGGAAACACCTTCTTTCCCACAGGTTAACCCTCAGGATATCCCGGACCTAAACAACATCCAGTTGCCGGTGGACGAGGAGAGCCCCAGGATCAGACACATAACAGGAGGTAACGAAAAGAAGAAGCAGGATAACAAAGACGAGGACGACGTTCTCCTGGACATGGAACTCGAGCCATACAAGGAAGTCCTCACGGACAAAATGGAAGAGGAACTTCTTGAAACCCAGGCAGAAAACACCAGTACTCCCAACAGGTTACGCAAGTTATCAGCAGGTAGCAAGAGGTCGGACAGAGACAGCAGCAGCTCGCCGGACTCACAGGAAGGGAAGATCAGGAGGAAACTCTCAGTGAGCGAGGGTCTGAGCGACGTGGATTAGGTATAGTACAGGTATATCTTAGGTATTTTTAGGATTTCTTTCCCTTTCTGTTATCAATGAGTTCCACTAAACCTCGTAAACTAGATCTCTCAACATCAGTGATTCAAATTAATCTAGGCAAACGTTTTACAGCAGCTTCCACGCTGCACAAGGAACTAAAAACTAATCAAATTTGCTTGATCCAGGAACCGGTCGTGAGGAAAGGAGTGGTAGGTAACGTGCCGAAGAGTCACAAGCAGTTTGTGCCCTTCACCCAGGATAAACCCAGAGTAGCAGCCCTGCTACCGAAGGACTTAGGAAAAAAGACTATGGTGCTGGCAGGACTCAGCTCTGGTGACAGTATCACTCTAAGGAGTAACATAAACAAGGATTTATCGATTATATTGACTTCAATATACATGGATATAACAAAGGACATCCCTAGCGACTTAATCACAAGGATATCCAGTTATGCGGAAAGAGAGAAACTCCCGCTGATAGCATCAGTGGACTCCAACGCCCATCACACTGCATGGGGACATACCAGTACGAACACCAGGGGAAGATCACTACTACAGGCTATCAGCTCCAACAACCTAGCGATCTGTAATACAGGTAATACACCCACATTTGTAGGAAAATTAGGACATTCTGTTATTGACCTCACACTTTGTAACCAACTAGGCCTTAACCTTATCAGAAATTGGAAAGTGGATAAAGGTAAATCCCTGTCTGATCACGAGGCCATTACTTTTACTCTAGGACTAGGGGACCGGGTTAGCTTTGCATCACGTTCATCTTCTAAGTGCGACTGGAAGCTATATAAGGAGCTGATAGCATCTGAGTTGGAGAGACATCCGTACTGGTTCTCACCAGTCACTGCAGCGTCGGATCTCAATGCTCGACAGCTTTTCATCTCTGACATCTTGCGGAGAAGCTTCAATGCTGCCTGCCCTATTACTCATGGTAACATTCGATCTACAGTACCATGGTGGACAGCGGAACTTACTACAGCAAAGCAGACAGCTCGAGCCCTGAGACGTAAAGCTAACCGGACCAGGAATAACCAAAACTGGGAACTCTCCAGGGATGCCAGCAGGACATACAAAAAACTTTTAACCAAGGCAAAACGTACAAACTGGAAACAATTTTGCGATAATCTTAAAGGTACTTCAACCCTAGCTAGGGTACATAAAATCCTCAGCTTTAACAAACCATCTCAGGGAAACCTTAACAGCCTCAGGAAACCGGACGGAACATTAACTGACACGCCTCAGGAAACACTAACACTCTTGAGCGACATACTCATCCCGAGCGATGGTACAGGGACAATCCGGACGCCATACGAAGGAGGAGATCCAGAAACCATAATCCAAATCACAGCTCCAAACAGAGTTGACAGGGCAGTTCGCGAACTTCAGCTCAACAAAGCTGCAGGACCGGATGATATAAGGAACGAAATGATACTCAAAGCTTGGGACCACATTAAAGATCCAGTCCGTATGATCTTTCACAACTCACTGGCACTAGGAATTACTCCAGAATCCTGGCATCATACCACAGGTTGTATTATACCAAAACCCCTCAAACCGGACTACAGTAACCCTAGGGCATTCAGGATAATCTCACTAACATCCAGTTTCCAAAAATTATTAGAAAGGCTCATACTCTGGCACCTTGAGTTAGACCTTAAAATTCCAGCTAAACTCACTAAAAACCAACACGGTTTTAGGAAAGGTAAATCTACGGAATCAGCGATCCACCTGTTAACCCGCAGGATCGAAGATGCGATGGCAACAGGGAACTACGCTTTAGGAGTGTTCCTAGACATTGAACAGGCTTTTGACGCAGTCAGCTTCACAGCGATCAAAGGAGCTCTGCTGGAAGCCAACATCCCTCCAACCATTTCAGAATGGATCTACTTCATGATAAGTAACAGGCACATTACTCTCACGTATTGCGAGTTCAGTATCACTAAAAAAGCTACTAAAGGTAGCCCTCAAGGAGGAGTATTGTCACCACTATTATGGAATCTAACTCTTAACACCTTCCTTAGCAGCCTAGGGATCCACAATAACTTTATACAGGCATTCGCAGACGACTTGGTAATCCTCGTACGAGGCATCTGTAAAGTCACGATCAGAGACATAGCCCAGCAACAGCTACAGAACATCAGCAACTGGTGCACGAGCAAAGGATTAAAACTCAGTGGAGTCAAGAGTACAGCAATCCTATTCACCACCAAACAGGACAATAATCTAGACTCCCCGCTAACAGTTGACGGAACTACAGTTCCCACAGTTAATAGTACAGTCTACCTAGGGGTTACTTTCGACCAGAAACTTAATTGGGGTACTCACATACTTAAAAAATGTGATAAGGCCATAGGACAACTTCACGCTTGTAAACCAGCTGTAGGAACAATCTGGGGCATCTCACCGGCGGGTGTGAGATGGATCTATAACCAAGTCATTCTCCCCTCACTAGGTTATGCAGCGATAGTTTGGCAACACTCAACAGACAGACACTACATCTCTGTCAGACTGGAAACAGTTCAACGCCAAGCAGGTCTCATGATCACTAGAGGACTGAAAAGTACTCCCACTCCTAACCTGGAGATCCTAGCTAGAATCCGTCCCATCAGCCTTAAACTTAAATCTCTAGCAATTAAGTC